ATTACTATATTCATTCTGAGTGTGTGGGTATTCAAAGCTATACTGCGGTGCGTTATATCGTTGACTTGAATGCAATGGAGGGGTCGGATAGCCTCCATTGGGTCTCTGAATGGATATATAGCCAATATAACTGACAAAGTCTCAACTTAAATCAAAAACTTACATATTGTGGATAGGGCTGTCCAAATGCACCGGAATTTGGTATATACACTGGCATCTGATTGGTGTTTGGCATATCTGAGGATAAATAGTTTAAAACTCCCAAGCAAGTTCAGTAGTCATGTACACTTTACCTCCATTTCCGATTCCACGTCTTCCTATCAAACCATTTTCAATGTTCTCGTCTTCTTCAGGACTCACTTGCACTTCATTTTCGCTGTCATTTCTCAAAGGAATCCATTCAGTGGTTGTCGTTGGTGTTGATGTGGTTGTTGTCAATTGTGTTTCATGTGTCAGATCTATAACGTCTGTATTCAATGTCTGATCCGTGTTTTCAATCAATTCAGTTGTCTCTGAATTAATTGTTTGTTCTGTCGTTTGGGCGGATTCTTCGTCAGAAGTAGTAGTAGTGGTCGTGATTGAAGACAACTCCGTCGATGACTCTGAAGACTCTGTAGTTGTTGTTAATTGAAGACAATCTTCTATAGGACTGACACCCTTAACAATGACTGTTTTCGAGTCTAAAGATATGCCTTCACTAAAGAAATCAAATGTATTGAAAGAAGTCATTAAAGTGACGGTTGTGTTGAACTGGTCTTCACAATCACAATTCTTAGCCATTGAAAACTTCTTTGAATCGATTACATTATCCGGATCTTTAATCTTCTTTTGTATAACAATTTGACCACATTTTTCACTACCACTTAGTTCTACTTCAGCCACTATTTAATTGATTTTTAATATATTACTAACATTGTTAACACATTAAATAACAAACATATCACATTTGTTAATAAAAAATATTAAATAAATTTTTTTAATTAGTTTTTTATAAGCAATTAAATAAACAAGATAGTTTTTAAAATTCTCCTTGAAGAAAATAGATCGAATAGAATAATGTAATTAAATGTGAAAATAACTAAAAGCAAACAAACCCAAATCAAATTGACACATATTTTTCTTTAAGTCATCAGTAAATTCTTTATAACACTTTAAACATTGAATTCCTTGTGGCGGACATTCACTGTCTGTATTGCCATCACTTTCTTCGTGATCCGAGTCATCATTTTGATCAACAGATCGTTTGAATTTTGAATTTAATTTGTGGTTTGCTTTTCTATTGAATTACAAATTTATGGATAAATAATAGGTTTGGAGTTATTGAAGAACTGACCCATTAATTGATATGGAATTTACAAACGACAAGATGACTAAAAAACAAATGAACAGAATTTGTGATTTCATTGCCACCTTGTTCACTTTAGCACCAATTTTCTAGACATCAATGTTTAAAGTATTCCCAAAAGTTATATCGTTCCGTATCTGAAATTCTAAACACTATGGCCTCTAATACTTCCTTATATTTTGCTGAATAAAGGGAAAACTGTTGACTAGTCGTACAGATCGTTAGATTAGTAATTAGTTGTTCATTTAATTGAAATCTTAATTTTATTAATTCTAATTAATTCCATTTCAAATTGTTTAGAAAAATTAGTTTAAATAAGAAATATGCTATTAAGTTATCTTTAAAATAAACTATTAATACAATTAAAACTTTAAATCATTGGATATAATTTGTTTGTTAACCCTATAAATCATTTACTAGTTAGTGAACATTAAACATACAAGTGTCAGCAATTTATTCAAATTGTCTATTAATGAAATAATTTATTTTATAAAAAATACATAAAGTCTACTGTGGATTGATTGCACAAATTTCTTTGAAATCACTTTTGTCTATTTAAGTAATATTTTAATCTATAACATTTTACACTTATTTCTCATTATTTGACACTTAAATAAACAAATTAAATATTCAATTGAGACTATTTTGATAAATATAATTGCTCAAGTTAATTAAGAAATATGTTACAAGAAATAAAATTCACATTTTATGTTTGGACATATCAATTGTCTAACATAAATTTGTATTACAGTACATGGTATTTCATTAAACAAATTACTGTCAAATAACACTAATAGTACTGTATTAGTCTTATACTGTACGATGATCCAATGATCCAATTAAATTATGTGACATTTAATTGCAGCCTTATATAACTTTATGACTAAATTGTATAAACAAGCAAATAAATAATAATACAAACGAAGTACCGTAATCATTTAGTATGATATGAATGTAATAATTACGGTAATGTCTATTACGGTACTAATAGTTATTTTGACAATATTTTGGAAATCATAAAAATGTGCTCATCTACCAAATTATGAGATGCGTTTTGTACTTGTTCCAGTCAAATATAACCTGTATTTAACCTAGCTTCAAAGTTTTCAGCTCAAACTTATGGTATTTGTGAGTATTGTTGACGTATTTTGTGATGTATTCACACGAGTTGTCAAAGCATTCAATGTTTTGAAATGTATTTGAATTTATTGAACGCAAAGTTTTTAAGCATCACTTCCACTGCCAATCTTGTGATCAAGAGGTGCACCTCATCCACCATCTACTCCCTGTCCACGAACATCAAACCCACGGGAAGTGCCATCGCTGTCATCCGGGTGTCGGGTGAACACACTTTCCGATGCCTTCGGCATTTGATCCCATGCCAGAAGACAATTGATAAATGCGTGGCTAACCCGCGGAAGGCTTTCTTCAGCCGATTGTATGACATGAAGACCAAAGAAATGCTCGACTCATCGCTCGTCATCTGCTTTAAGGGGCCGTTGAGTTATACGGGCGAAGACATGTGCGAACTTCATGTCCACGGATCCAATGCTGTGATAAGTGGAGTGCTGTCTGTGTTGAGTGGTGTCCACGGCTTCAGACCATCAGTTCAGGGAGAGTTCACCAAAAGAGCGCTCATTAACAACAAAATGGATTTAATAGAAGTCGAGGCCATCAATGACTTAATCACATCTCAGACACGTTCACAGAGACGACGGGCTTTGTCTGCCATCAGTGGATCCGTTTCACAACTTTACGACAATTGGAGACAACTTATCATTAAATTAATGGCAAATATTGAGGCGCTTATAGATTTTGGCGAAGAAGAGCTCATTGAAGAATCAGTTTTCACTGGACTTAAGAGTACAATGAATGGTCTGATGACCACAATTAGTAGTCATTTAGAGAAATGCAAGAATAGAAGCGATTTAATCAAAGACGGGATCAAAGTGTCGATCATTGGTGAGCCTAATGTCGGGAAGAGTAGTCTTATAAACAGGTTATGTGAACGCGAATTGGCTATCGTTTCCCCAATCAGTGGCACCACAAGAGATGTGATCTCGACGTGGCTTAACATAAACGGCTATTCAGTATCCATTTCAGACACGGCTGGCATTAAAGACATCGACAATCATCTCAATGATCCCATCGAAAAGGAAGGCATCGTTAGGGCTATCAAAAGGTATTTAATGGTAATTCATATAAATGTCAAATAATTGATAACGTTTTTTCTGATTGTGTATTGAATTGAGTGCTAAAAACTCAGACCTAATACTACTTGTGATCGACTCGACGACTCTGACGGACAGTCATACTCTGACGGACAGTCATACTCTGACGGACAGTCATACTCTGACGGACAGTCACACTCTGACGGACAGTCACATAGAATCCAAATTAAAAGCAATTCATTTGAACCAATGGGACAATTGGAGTAAAAAAGTTATTTATTTAATCAATAAAATTGATTTGTTATCACAAGAAGATTACAATCGTTTGCAACAAAATTGTAATCAACTGTTCACTGATTGGAGTGCTATTAGTTGTAAGACTTCTGATGGCTTGGAAGCGTTGATGCAAAAGTTGTCACTAGTTGTCGAAGAGTTGTGCGGAAACTCAATGAATGAAATGTTGTTCATTACGAACAGACATGAGGCACATCTCACACAAGTTGTCCAACAGATCAGTCAATCACTTGAAACTCTTGACAAAGACATCGCAATATCTGCCCATCACTTGAGAGAAGCGGCGCAACAATTATCTTATATAACCGGAAGAATAACTACTGAAGACGTATTGGATGTCATTTTCAGAGACTTTTGTATCGGAAAATAAAATTCAAATATATATACATTTTTCAAATCTCTTAAAACTAACACTTTATATATAAACGGATCCATCGCTTGGCTTCAGATAACCGGTGGCTATAAGTATGACATCAATCAAAGTCCAGACTCCGAGTCCCCCGAAGCTGAAGAGTTTGCCGACGCCCTCCTGCCACAGACCCAAGTAGAACCGGTCGATACCAAAGCCTCCAAGAGTTATACTGCCATCACATACACAGACATCACATCATCAGTCATATTATCAATGAGTATCACTTCACTGTCAATGCATACCTCAACAGTAGAGCTGTGGACCACTTATACCCGGACACGAAATTGCACTGTTTATACTTGTAAAAGACCCTGTTGCCCAAACAGATCACCTTGTCGTCATTCACTTCGCACCGGGATTTGTATCGCGAGTTGTAATCACACGAAGAGTTTGGGGAACAGTTGTGGTGGTGTTGCGGCAATTGATAGCAAAAGGCACACAAATAGCTTCGCTTGACCTTTGTCTCACCCTTTGGACACAAACAGACATTAGGCATAAGACATGACATGGAGATGGTGTGCACTGACCGAGCAGTTTGTGGTGACCAGAGGTTGACAGTCGGTGGCCACAGACTGGCCGTAAACACACGAGTAGTTGAGTTTGCATTCAAGACATGAGTGACTCAATTGGGAACAGATCTGATTCGTGTCATTACAGACAGTGCTGTCAGTGGCCACAAGAGTTGGTTCGCTCACCACCACTGATATCAAGCCAAAGATGACCACAATATGCACTAAATAGTGACCAATAAGTGGCATATTTTGCACAAACTCTCCACTCGTCTAATGGTGTGAGTGTTCACACAAATGCTGTGCTTTTCAGTCAAAAGCCATCTCTTGTCTCACAAACCATTCAATTCACAGCCAATTCAATGCAACACACATTCAGCTCTCTCTCTCTCTCTCTCTCTCTCTCCTCCCTCTCCCCTATTATTTAATTTAATTTAATTTAATTTAATATACAATAATTTAATTATATTTCTTTGTCCGTTATATTTTAGTTGTTTTTATTTATATTTAAAATTATAAAAAGTTATTAAATATTTTATAATGAATTCTACTGCACACACATTACACAGAATTTATTGAATAGCAAATTGTTATACAAATGTTTCAAAAGACAAAATCAGTTATTCTTTATATTACTTAATGATTAAATGAATAGAAAGAAATAAAATGTTTGAATAGTTTTAAGATAATTGTAGTTAAAATAGTTATGAATCAATGGTTGGAGTGTTGTTTGGGACAGTCTTCTTGTTTTTGGTCCTTTCCTTTCTGTTGTTTCTGTTTCCGCACTGTTTTCTGATAACTCTTGTGGTCTCACATCCGGATCGGGCACTGGTCTCAGTCTGAAGGGTCAGTGTTTTGATTTTAACGCCGTTTTCACACGAAGACCACTCACTCTTCACATAATTACACTCTGTTTTGTCATATAATACAACAATAAGAATAAATACATTTTCAATCATATATTGAAATTCCATAAAAACTACTCGTTTTTGGTTAGATTTTCAAAATCAAAATTCAGTCTATATTATAGACTATATAAGTTAGACCTAAATATTTGATGAAAAATGAGAACAAATTTAATATCTTATTTATCTAACTATAATTCGTGTCAAATTATATAGTCTAATACAGGTATAATGAAAATATATTTAAGAAATAATTAGTCTAATTAGAGACATACGTTGTTTGCATGTTTTGGTGATGTTTCGGGTGCCTTCACAACCAGGACTTGGGATCTTAAGAGTGTCGGTGCGGTGTTTGGATCCGTTGACACAATCACTCCAAAGGCCTTTAGAATAGCGGCAGTCTGTAGGCATACAAAGTGTTTTATAAGACAACTTGTACTCATAAAATACATAATAATAATATAAAACAGTAAGTATCTAAATGTACTGGCTCACTCTTTTTGCATTGTCTGGTGATATACTTCTGTGGCTCACAATTAGTTGGTGCCGAACGCGATGTCTTTAATTTTAGAACTCTTCGCTGTTGTCCTAAACATTGCAATCAATTGCTATGATAACGAAGAATATGAATGAGACTAACGATATACCTGTGCCGTCGCACTCCTCCCAGGCCTCCTTCTCATAGCGACATTCTGTTGACATTTATGAATATTTTTATAGATTACTTATCATTTGTTAGTTGTTACGATCTATTCAATTATATATTTAAAATTATATCTAATACAAATGAAAATTCTATGAATTTGTAGTTTAAAACTAAAACTAATAAATACTGGTAAATGATTTGAAACTAAACATGTTGAATAAGTAGAGTATCACTAAAACTCACCCGATTGTTGATTTTTCCTTTCAGTATTTGATCGAATCAGTCGATTGAGTGTTATTTGGTGTTCAAAGGCAAACACAAAGCTATCAATTAATGTAATCGATAGCAAAACTGTCAAAATCTTGAAATTCATTTCTTGGCTCAAAGTTATCTATTTATAAGAAAAATAGATTTTCTAAAAATATGAAATATTTTCTTTTAAGCAAGGTATAAATAAGTAAATAACGAGTATTCTTATATTTAGCTGTTTACATATAATGAGTGAGAAGTATTAATAGAAATGTTAACATTTAAAACATAAATTCTTGTCTACAGAATGACTGAACAAATCGTGAAACTTAAAGGAAAGGGAAGTATAAGTAATAGAAAGTAATAGAAAATAATTAAAAGTTTAGCAAAAGTACATCAAACTTATGCTTTGGGTTTGATTGCTATTAATGAGGAAACATTCAATCAATTGGATTAAATTGAATAAATCTATTGATAACATAATTTATCAAAATATTATTCAACATTTAATTCATAAATAAGTCACTCTTTTCATCAATGATTGCTTTCATAACAGCAAAGACTACGCCTTTAAAATTATCTATCATTTCATTGCAATCTTTTTAATAGATTTGAGACAAAACAACATAAAAAGTCTTCTTTAGAGTTTAGTATTCAATACAAATTATATTTATTTTAAAGTAATTTTATTATTTAAAATACTATTAATATGGTAACACTTACTTTTATTCAACACTTAAGACCATTATTTGTAAAGAAGTCTAAACATAGTATCCTATAAGTAATGATCGTTTCTCGAGATCCAGTGAACCCGAGTTCTGAGTTATTATAGACTCCAAAGCGTAACAAACAGTGAAAGTTTGGGTCGAGAATCAAGTCGTTCATCACTAGCTATACTCATAGGAGCGACAATTCCTATGAAGAATGGAATGACCTCTCATTTAAACTAACTTCTCAAATATGTTCGGAGAGAGAGAGAGAGAGAGAGAGAGAGAATGAGAGAGAGAGAGAGAGAGAGAGAGAGAGAGAGAGAGTTTCCTGTGCAGTGAATGTTGGTTGGCATCAGTGATGGTTCACTTAATTTGTTTTGCAGTGAGTTTTGGGAAGTCAGTCGCCCTTATGTTCATTCGTTCAGTACAAACCTCTAATGAATGTAAAAAAAGCAAAGAAAATAGCAATAGATGTGAAGGGATGAGATGGGATGGGATGGTGGACAGAGTTTTCGTTTAGTTTAACTTAGAGTTAGAGTAAATCTTACATGTTAGCTTTTGTTATAATTGTCATACTTGTTGTTTGACAATGTATTAGATAATAGCAGTGATTTTTTGAAGAAAATGATTTTCTGGACACTAATACAGTTTAAGTTTATAGCTAAAGTTTATAGTAAATGTTTAACAATGTTTATAATTAGAATCACATATCACTATAATAAGCAAATATTCAGTATTATTTCAAAAATTTAAATCACAAGGGTGAAAAATAGTTTTAATTGAATAAAAATATATAAAACCCAATTATTCATAAATTAAATTGTTAAAAATAATTAAAAATAAAGATATTGAAATTGAAAACGACTTCTAAATATTGATATTTTTATTTCAACGGTACTGCATATATTTTAGCAAATTGTATATTTAAATTCTCTGATGTTTTAAACTATCACATTAATTATGCAATAGTATTTGAACAAAATCAAATGTTTTATTTAAGGACTCTTCTCAATTCTCTAAACTCTGTATAAGTATAAAGAATGTAGCAAAAAGTCTTTGAAAACTAGTCAAGTAAAGTTATTTGAGATCTATTGCATTTATATTTCATTCTCCAATATATTTATCAATAAATTATCATGAATTTCTTGATAAATTCCTATATTAACGTTAATCACCAAATTAGTCAACTATACAAAACTACAGTAATCTAACTTTTCTATGAGTAATAAAAACACTGATTATAAATTGGAAGTGATTATTTAGATTGAATATGGGGAGTAATACTATAGTTTACATAAAGATTATAGTATAATAAATTTCTATCAATGTATTAATTACTATAGTGATTTAATTAACAAGCAGAGTTATGTTAGCAGAGTAACTGTAAATTGACATTGATCATATTTTGTGACAACTGAATAGAGTTTGACAACTGAGTACCAGTTTGTTAGTAGAGATGGCGCTGTCATAGTAATCACATCACATCAACACATCTCTGTATTACTCATTCACTGTATGTTTGACTCGATTTGGGTTTTATTTGTTTTCATGTAATCATCACTTGATTTGTGTTTTCATTTCACTATTCATTCATTCATTCAAACAATTTATACTGAATTTAGCACTAAATGAATGGATAATACAGCGATTGTGTGTCACATCTGCAGTGATATATCTTGGATGACATGAATTGACCACAAGATATGCAAACGACGGTCACATTGAATGGTGTCATTCATAAGCTTTAATTGGTATCCATTTGTCACATAAATTGCAAATCAATTCATTTGAATAGAGTTTGGGCCCAAAGAGTGTCCAATAAATGGAGGAAAAGGAGGAGAAAGACATAATTGTCTTGAAATACAAACGCGGAAGAGATCAAGTGATAAACACACGACTGAATTGATTGAGAAATGAGATATTAATTGAATTGTTTGTTAATGTCTTGAATCAGTTGTCGGCCAAAGAGATCGATGAGTGGGAGGACCCGCAGTACGAGATCTATCACGTGACCGATCGCTACGGATTCATTCAGTGATATTACCATTGATTTGCTGATTCACCTCTTGTACTCATGTGTCTTACTCTCCATTCCAGTGATAATCGTTTGCCAGAAAAGCTGTCAGACTTTGAGAATAAAGTAAGTGTTGTGATGATTGTGAAGACATTCAGACATTGCGTTCACTTTATCTTACATTTCAATTGTCGTGTCTTTAGATCAGAGCTCAAGAGAACACACGGCTCTCGAAATGGCTAAAGATGTTGAAGTCTTGGGAACAATACTTCCCTAATTCGGATAAATTAAGGACAAGAGTTTATAAAGGTTTGCATCAATGCTCTAGTGATGCACTTAATTGTAATCTATCGATGCGTTTGTGAAGGCATTCCCAACGCAGTCCGGGGCGAAGTGTGGGCACGACTTCTCAATATAAGTCGACTCAAACAGGAACAGGACGGTAGGCAATGGGCAACAGTCTGACCACTCGATAGTCAATAATATATTTGTTGTGTTTTTAGGAAAATACAATGAAATGCTTGAATATGGGTTAGACCACTCACCAGATATCAGACAAATTGATTTGGATGTTAACCGCACCTATAGAAACCATATTATGTTTAGAGAGAGATATAATACTAAACAACAAATGCTGTTTAAAGTCTTAGTCGCTTATAGTGTGTATAATTCGGTGAGTAATTATATTATTGACAAAATTACTATACTGTACATTATTTTATTTGAATTGACCGTAAATATAAATTATATAATCACTGATTGAGTGACAATGAATTGATGTCTTAACAAACGTAACTTATCCTTTAGCCAATAACAGTCCCTTACAGTGTTTATCGTCGGGAAGACGAGTACATATACTTACTTCTCCATTAATATCAAACCAAATGTTAGAATACTTATAATAAGTCTTTGTTGTCATTGAAAACCAAAGGATGCCTTTTGGTCGCTGTCGGCCCTCATGTCGGACGATAAGCACGCTATGCATGGTTTGTATTGTCATCATTTGGTGTGTCATAGCATTTACGGTAAATGATTTGTGCAATCGATAGGATTTTTTATACCCGGCTTTCCCAAACTGATTCGTTTTGCTCGACATCACGACGCTGTTACTCAAAAGTTTTTGCCAAAACTATCCAAACTCTTCAAAGTAATATTGTATTTGTTATTAGATAACGGAATTAATTATTAATTATTGCCAATAGAAATACGATATCGACTCAACACTGTATACTCTAAAATGGTTTTTCCAATGCTTTCTCGATAGAGTTCCCTTCTCTTTGACTCTGAGGTATATTTATATCGAAATTAATTTCAAATATGTTACTAATGATTAATTTTATTGATTGATTGTCAGACTATGGGATTGCTTTCTATTGGATGGAGAGATCATTTTGACGGGAATGAGCTTTACTTTACTTAAACTCCATAAAAGTATAATTAAATTGAGATGTTGTGTGTTTTGATTGATTGATTTGATTGGTGCCACTCAGACACTCTCCTGAGGAAAGGAATGGAACAGTTGATTGAGTTCTTGCAAATCGAATTAGAAAAGGATTTCGGTTATAGAGATGACCAGGCTATTACTGCTCTCCAACAGTCTGTACAAGACCTCAGGTATGATTTGTATTCAACTTTTGTGTTTACTTTATAAGTGGTTGCCTTTGAGTGGATATTTGTTAAGAGATTTGAATGAAATGTTGTTCTCTTCAGGAAACACAATATGCTGTCCCCGAGGGAAGGGCCGACACAATTAGAACTGCCGTCGCGTCCATTCGGACTAATACTACCTCCGGATAGAAGGAACTCATTCCTCAACGACAACCAAAGTATTGCTGGCAGTATTATCTTAAGGCCAACAGATTCTGTATCTCTGGCGCAGACTTCCAGAACTGGTAGTGAAGTGGGAAGTGTTTCTGACTTTGACAACAAGTAAATGATTATTAAAAATGAGTGTTTATTTTGATGACTAATATTGAGTATTATTTTGGTGGTGAGTAGTGAACAAAGCAAACTTCAGCGCTCCATTTCCATCTACGATAATGTGGACATTCATGAGTGCATTGAAGCGGCCAAACGGTTGAGTGCTGTCGACTCACCACAACACAGACCCAGGAGTAGGGAAAGCAGAACACTGTCCGCTCACTCACAAGAAGTGGAAACACATTCACAAACAGATGTCAAGAGTGATGTCAAGAGTGATGTCAAGGAAATCACTGAAAAGAATGAGGTTTTTGTTGAATCTATTCAAACAATTGAAGAAAATGTCCCAAACGTTGATTTCACTGAAATGAAAGAAACCATTTTTGTTGAATCGGTTTCGCAAACAAATTATGCAAAACATGAAACAAATTTTGAAAACCCAATAGAATTTTCTATGAATCTTAAACACAATTTACAAGACTTGAGTCACACTAAACCTAATAATAGCTTCGAGTCTACAAATAATGACAACATTCCCCCATTTAATGGTAAACAAAGTGATGTTAAGTCTGAAAATGAGTTTTTTCACAAAAACGAGACAAATGACGAGAAACATGAGATGAAAACTATCAGCAGTTCTTCGATATCTGAAAATTATAGTTCATTTACGTCTGCAAATGAAAGCCAAACCCAAGCATTGTTTTCCTCTTTACTCAGCTTTTATAGTTACCTTTGGTTTTCGGTTTGCTTACCTCTCTATCCCTCGGCTTGCAGAGGATACTCCTGCCGGATGTTTGCGCCGTGACTCTTCTCTGTTGGTTACCCAAACCAATCCCCCACATCTCCAACCAAACCGAGTCTTATTCCTCGATATATAGCGAGTCCTGTGAACCCAAACCAAACCAATAATTCCATGAAATCTCAAACTAAAAATGAAAGCAATAATAGTTCGCAAATCAAAAGTTCATTCATTAAACAGAAGTCTTCGAGTGAGGAGTCGACTAAACTGAGGATTTTTGTGCCATTCAGTCATTCAGACCAACAAAATGACAATAAAATCCAATTAAGAGTCGATTCGCCGACTTTGCAACTGAAGACAACGGAAGCCAAACGCTTACCGGTTGTCGACACGTAATTCACTCCCAATAATCAAATAATAATCTATTTTCGCGTTTCATTTGAATGTCATTTGCTGTGAAATGTTGACAAATAATCATTTTGTGTATTATATTTTAATTTATTTGTTGAGACAATCATAATGTTTAGAACTGACTCATAATAAATTGTCAAATAATTATACAGTTTAATTATAATAATATAAATGTAATCTTAAATTCAAAATACATAACAATTCTGTTGTAATTATTTTCGCAAATAATTTTTAATTTTATTCAAATATACTATTTTTGAATACTTATAAGCCATTGATGTGTCTATTGATTGAGGCTTTAATTTAATGCAATAATTATATATTAATAAGTTATATTCAATAAATTTTAATTTAAATTAAAAATAATGTTTTCTATATTTATTTATCCCAATTCATAAATCATAGAACTTTATTACTTGTATACCTGTACATGTACTGTCAATATAGCATATACCGTAAATAATACTGTACTTTGTATAGTATGAGACATACTATGAGTACAAATATTTTAGCAACAAATATCTGTACAAATAACAAATATCGATACACATGTACCGTTACTATATATTATATATAATAGTATATACCGTATAATCGAAAGGACTAAACATTTAAATCCTTTTAATGTGTCTTTTTATAAATTAATTAAATATTAATTTTTAAAATTTAGTATCATTTTAGAGTACATACACAAGAGAATAGTATCTAATAGTGTTTACTGAATTGACACTGATACATTTTTAATATTCTGTCAAATAATACTGTGTTTCCAATGCTCTAATGTGTGGTGCATTGCACTAAAGTCTGAATTCGGGGTCAAAAGGGTTACGAATTTAATTGATAATTAATTGTACCTGATAATTTAAAATAATTTCTGTTATCGAATCGATGAGACTTTTAGAGTTAATGTACAGTGCCTCAAAATACAGTATCATATGATAGAAGTGAATGTGTTATGGCATAACAGTTATGCAATACTATGTTATACAGTACTGTATGTATAAGTTATCTTAGATATGAAAACTTAGACTACATGTGACTCTCTGTGAGTCAATCATCACTTCTATAGACGACAACATAACTCCTCGATTGGCGACTCATTACACAAATCAACACTTGTTTACCACTTATTTATATAATTAAACACAAATATCATACTAACAGTAATAATAACACAATAGTTGTTATATTAAAGTGATATTCATTGATGAATTAGTGAATAATAGTGAGCAATGGGTGACTGTGGAGAGGATTTGCCCACAATTGTGGTGACGGGTATGTCCATCAGTTCAACTTAAGACAATTTTGTATATAATTTATAATTTAAACAGGGTCATTAAATATCTATATAAATTATTAGTTGCTATTAAAACATTGATTAGCCTTATTATAGTTAGTTATGCTCATCATACCATATCGGTATTCATAATTTTTAATTAAAAATGGGAATGTTTGCAAAAATAATACGACAAGGTACATTTTGAAATGAAAATCAGAATAATGTGAATATTGATCAAAATATATTGAAAATAAGAGTCTCAGTATAAGACCATTGTATCAAGCTGGTTTTATAAAGATATGATTAACTATACTAAATCACCTGTTAAAATTAAACTATGTATTATTAATATATTACATGTAATTAAAAATATATTAATAACTTACTGTTATTAGTCATGTTTATTATTAATTGAGAATTAAAATTAAAAACTATTTTATGTTAATTGTATTAAAAGTTTTCAACTAAGTTATTGCAGCTAATACATTGCATTAACTTTAAAAAATTCTATTGCCTACCATTATATATATATATTAAATACAAATTTTGTTTTAAAAGTAAAATATTCAAATAAATGCACCAATTATTTATTTTAAAAAATAAATTCCTAAATATTGGTTAAGGATTTGGTTTATTCCGGAATTATAAGTCCAACCCTTCGTGGGATTGTGTCCAACGATTGCGATTAAAAGGCGTTAATCTTATAGTAGAAGAAATACCCGTCGCTTACGATGAGGTCGACAAACGAGTGGCTCTAATCTGGAGCCGATATAAGCCTTTTGTAAATATATGAATGAGATGTGATTGAGTGGTGTATTAGTAATCTAATGGTTGGATGTGTTGTCTGTGTTGAGCAGCTGGTGATCCACTGCGGAGTGTCCTGTTTGGCGAAATGCATCACTTTGGAGACCCGAGCCCTTCGCCACCACACGCTGTACGACAAGCCAGACATCTACGGCCGACTGCCTGATGGCACACAAACTGCTGCAACAAATCAACTCAATTGTTACCAATCGCTGGAACCAAACGACTCATTCGATTGCATCGAAAGTGGGATCAATTTGAAAGAAGTTTGTGATCGAGTGAACCAACACTTCCACAACGGATTCATTCCAATGCCTGCCGTCCTCTCGTCAAACGCCGGAAGGTTTGCGCTGTCATTCACTCGCAGATAATTGATTGACATTTCGTTTGAGTAGATATTTATGTGAATATATATTCTGTTCATCACTGATGGAGAACAAGCAGAGGACGGCATTCATTCACGTCCCAGAAGTTGGCGATAACTGTTTCCTCGAAGATATCGCCATTTCTCTGGAGTTCACGATTCAAACGATAGTCAACGAGGTTTTAGATTCAAATAAACAATCGTCTAATGATATGTAAATTTTATTGCATTTATGTTTTGATAAAATTTAAACAAAATTATATTAATATTTATATGAATAACAAATTCGTAAAATTGAAAAATATTTGAAATTCAAGTCAATATAATTTTATAATACATAAATTTGATGATAGTNTAATGATATGTAAATTTTATTGCATTTATGTTTTGATAAAATTTAAACAAAATTATATTAATATTTATATGAATAACAAATTCGTAAAATTGAAAAATATTTGAAATTCAAGTCAATATAATTTTATAATACATAAATTTTATGATAGTCTTATATATCTTAAAAGTGTATAAATGATTAAAATTGTGATAATTTCAGAAATGCACCTAAAATTCATTTTGAGTGTAGTTAGAGATTCAATTGAAATAACCGTTTAATACGAACAATAAGTTTGCAAAAGGGTTTCACAGCACTTTAGGCTTTCCTTAATATAATAACAAATTTCCCATTTTTATAAATACTGTATAACGTAATAATATTGATATATATATTAATTTTAAGTTATTAACAATTGGTTTAAGTATTTCATCGGTTCTCAAAAATCAAAAGTTCAATTCAATATAGAATTTGTATTCAACGCCCAAACAATTGTCAAAATTAATGCCTTAATAAGTTAGAACCCTTTAGTAAAGCTAGCAATGGTTGCAATTCATATCAAATGCAATCATTTCATTACTTTTTGCATAAAAATAAATTACCGTATTATAAAATTTCTAAAAAATATAATAATAAATAAATAACATTTAAAACGAAGTGTTTTGTGGATTAAAATATAGCTTTAAATGATTGGAATTGATATAAATTATATTAAAAAATTATACCGGTAATAATACTGTATATAATGTATATAATACCGTAATATTGGAAAATTTAAAAATCAATTTCTTATGAGTGTTTGGAGATTGAGGTGTGGATTGAATGGAAATCAATCGGTTTAAAGAGTATCTCATAAGAAATGCCGATTTGTGTCCTAAACCATTGGATTGAAAAAAGTGGAAGTTTTTGGTGAGAAAGGAGTTTCGTTTCACTTATTTGCCGATCGATTGCCAGACAATGTCTTTGAGTGGTTCGTAATAATCACGTCTTAAGACTACGAGTTCCGGCAGTTTTCGCAAATGGGAGAAGAGATCGGAATCGGATTCAATGATCAGTACGAGAAGGCACGAGAAGAACAACATAACTAGTAATGAGCTTAAGATAGACGTGCGGACAATAGCGTAGAGTTTGGTCAGCGGTTTGCGGGGAAGAGCTCTGCAACTGATTCCAGAGCTTTTACTTTGAGAAGAAGTCATCTTTTTGTCTAAAATATCACTGTTTTGTTCGTACGGCTCATCAGAATCGGTGCCATTGGAGGCCATATGAGAGGGCGACGAACGGACCTCTGGGGTCTCGAATGATAGCGTCTGACACTCTTCACCGGTAGGCGTTAGGTCTGGCCTCAGATCGAATTCTGTGGGCAAACTTGAAGTCATAGACAAATCCCAATCTTCTTCGTCGAATGGATCCAAAGATGGCGGTAATGACACGTTTGCGTTGGCGTGTCCTTCGTGTGAGTCGTGTTCAACGTGTGGGTTGTGTTCATCGCACGGCTCAGAAAGTGTTGAATAATT